TTTAATGAGGTAATTATCCCTTATCTCTTATAAGAATATATCGTTTGACATAAATTAATTGACTAATAATTAATAGACAAATTAAATGAAAAAAAAAAAAAATGAAATAGAAAATTATTTTTTTTTAAATTATAGTACACAACATAAGCTTAATTTAACAAAGATATGAAGCTCGGAGTATTTCCGGTATATTCTTAAAAGAAAATTGAAAAAGTTTTACTTTTCCTACGTATGTTTTAAGTTATGAACTTTCCATATAAGAGGAAAAGTGTGTCAGATGAAAGAGGTATATATAAGATATTTATAAAAAAAAATTTGTTTTTATCCATACATTTTTCAAAAATCTATAGCAATTAAGGTTGAAAATTATAATATAAAATCGAAAATTTAAAATTAAAGTAGCATTTTTTAAGCTACGGCAGCCATTTGCACATAGAAGATAAGTCATTGGGACAAATTTTTTTTAACTTATAATACATAATATATGCTTTTATATAACATATGTTTTAGAAGCTCGAATTATTTTTTGAACAACTACAAAAGTGATGTTGAATAGATTAACTTTTTTTGTAAAATTTGCCATTTCAAATTATCCGCAGGTAAAGGGTTAGATTTTCGAACATTTTTTATTAAATGAAATGTGAAATACGTAAGGTATTTTAATAAAAAAAGATTTTTATTCATAAATTAAAAAAAAAAATTTTATGACAGTTTTAAGTAAAAAAAGTTTAAAGAATGTCAATATTTTTTTTATTTGAAAATAGCCATTTTTTTGGAGCGATTTTCATTGTTTACATAGAGCGAAGGAAAAATATTTAATTTTTGAGGGTAATATCTAGAACTAGATTCTTCTGGATAAGTGCCTGTCATCTAATAAATATTTTTTTCCGTTAAGTATTTTGTTCTATTATTGTATCTATTCACTGAATTTTTATATTGATTTGGTTGGATATTAAAAATTGGATATTTTGAAATTACCATTACATGTGTATTGAAAATGTTCTATATTAAGACTTATCATTAAAAAATTTACTGTAATTAAATAAATATTAGATGTATTATAAAATAAATTTATAAAATTCTTCATTACTTGAATCTTAAATTAAAATGCTATTAATATGATTTTATATATGATTATCTAAAATAACCTTAATGATTTATTTGTTTATTTTAAACACGGAACTTTTTTGAATAATAAACAAAATTAAATTAATTTTAAATATTTTAATCATATGTATTTTACGCAACTCTTTTTAATGAAACATTTATGAGGTATGATTTATTTTTTATTTAATAAGCAAAGGTTTTAATGAGTTAAGGTGTAATCTAAAACTCATGGAATGTTCAAGTTGTAATTGAGTAGTCTCTTTAATAATCATTAAAAAACCATATAAAAAATCTATCAATTTAAAAAAAATGCTTGATTTATTTAATAATTTGTAAAAATAAGTATAAGATCATCACATTTTTTTACTTTATAATATTTACTTATTATATTTTTCATAAATATATATGATCCATAATATAATTATTTTGCTTTAAGTATAGTATATTTTAAATACATATTCAATGTATATTATGTACTGTATAGTAATTTAAAATAAAAATATTGTTTATCTTCTTACATATCTCAAGAGATATTTCTAAGATTAATGTGTTAATAACTTACTAAACATTTAATTAACTAGACTAACTACGGGTAAAATAAAATAATAAAATATTTTTATTTATTTATTTATTAAATTATTCATTTGGATATGAAATCGTGTTAAGCATTATTATTTAATTAATCTTTTTTCCTACAGTGGTGCCGTTAGATAACGTCAACGACGTTAACCTATCATAATGCAAATAAAAAAGTTGCTTGTAGATCTGTTTTTTTACTATGTACAAGCTCTAGAGAATAATACGTGATTGTAATGTAAATTATTTTAAGGGTTCAAAAGAATTTCATTGATAAATAAATTAAAGTACAATCGAGAACCAGCTAAGTAAAGATGAGATATTTTTTAAATTAGTATTATTGACAGGCTAATAGAAAGGCGGTACAATTATATTTTAAGTTACAACAGTGCAACTACATTGTTGTAACTTAAAATATAATAAAAAGGGTATTGATAATATTAATTTTTCTGGATATTTGTTTTATTGGATGAGCTATGAACTAATGAATTAATTAATCCTCAGTAGATTGTTTCTATGGTGTTTTTGATTAGACGAATTTTCTATTCAATATTGTGTTAATAATTTATTTTTAATTCAATACAATTTTAATACTGGGGTCAGTAATCATTTGAGAGTTTCTTTTTTTAATTCAATATTTAAGAAACTACTACAACATATGTATATAAATATACTGAAATTATCAAAAATCTAGGGTTAAAAAGATAGTTCAAACGAATTCTTTCCTATATAGATTCAGTTTTACCAAAATTAATTTTTTTTTCTAAATAATAGTAATATTTACAGGGTGATTGACTAACAATGCCACATGAATTTTCTTTAAAAATATTAGTGTTATCATATATATAATTATTTTATTTGTTATAAATCTTTTTTGAGCTATTTAACAAGAAAAATAAAGATTCCATCTTCATCCCTTAACCCTCAAATCAATATCGACTTTAGTTTTTCAAATAGCAACTTAGTTTTTTTTTTTATTAATCTTGTTTAGCATAAAAACATTCTCTCAAAAAAAAAAAAATCAATTTTAATAAATTCTAAACGAGATATCACTATTTAAAGTTTAGGGGATTTAAAAAATAAAACAGTAGTCGGATAAATACAGTAACATTCATACTTAGTGTACAAATAAGAACTACCAATGTATTGTATCGCGACTTAAAATTTGCGCGTCTTTTATAAATCTATATAAGAAATACTCACATCCTCTAAACTTTAATGAATCATACCTCACTGATTTAATAATAATTAATAACTGAGAAATTCAGAAATATATGAGACTAAAAAATACCAAAAATATATTTCTGATCGTAGTGATTATCTTAAAAGAGAATTCAACTAGCTAGCATTAAAGAATCACCCTGCACACTAGGATGACTGATATTTTTGAGTATTTTCTCATATGGTCTAAAAAAAATATCTTCAATTGAGCTTTATATGACATGATTAATAATGCACGCTCTAAGCTCAAAGTTTAGAGAAAATATAAGAATATGTGGCTTTTTCGGTATTTCAGCGCAAGTTTTGATTTTTCAAAAAAGTTATCATTACAATTGATTATTTTGTTTTATTAGTTTAAGTACCGTTAAAATGGGTCACCTAAATTTTAGATTCTAAAATACTAGTAAAACTATTATTTAACTGTTCCTTTCTGTACTTAAAATTTTTTGAAGAAGAATACCAAAAAAAGCTTATTATTTCTAATACACTCTATTAATATCTCGTTGTTCATCAGTATTTTAAGAAAAGTTATATTAGTTTTAAGTTGCAAAAAATATTGTGGACAATGCTATTTTTTTCGGTAGGGTGATTTTGAAATTTTTTTAAATTTCTAAAAATGATAGTTTTTTTTTTTTTTTATAAATTTTTGGCGATATTAAGTTTATCTATATTAAATTTGAATTCTTTGACATATTTATTATTAATTATTGGTTCAGTGAAAGCTGAGAATTTTCATGAACAAACAATAACAAGCATGTCCCATCACAAAACCAATACCTTCTCAGGTATCAAAGCTAAAATAAAAGACTGAATTTTTATATCGTTAGATCAAAAATGGAATAATGTTAATCAAAGTGGTAATTTTAAGTGGAATTCATTAAAAAATTAAATAAGCTATGACTCGCCAAAGTTCTGTGGAAAATTTTGTTTTTAGTTAAACCCAGAACAGTTTATATTTGTATAAAAATGATTACTTAAAATATACTATTTGTATAAAATTAATAATTTTGTTGACATTATTAGAACGGTTCCATGAAAATGAGACTTTTTGTTTCCATATAGGATAATAATGTTTGCAACATGGTCTACTTCCTGTGATTTTTATTAAAAATAACTAAATATATTTATGCTACAAAAATTTATTACGTATCTATTAACAACCAAAAAAATGGAAATTACTCATTTCATGTTTTTATTTTTTTTTTTCTACAAGATTTCATGTATTCTTTTCTAAGTATAAAATTAATTTAAGTTCAAAAAGAATTATTTCTTTTGTTTTTTTCTTTTACTCAAACTTTTTTTAATAAGAATATACCTAAAAAACCCAACACAGTCAGGTTTAGGTACAGTATACACATGACATAAACGGAACAAGTATAGATGATATTTTACAGTGATTAATATAACCATAAAAAACTCTTGGATGCAAATTTACATATAGTGTTTAATGTTTTTAAAAAATTGTTAGATTATTCCAATAGTAACATCAATATTTCATTATTTATATCTTGAATATAAGTTTTATGATTTTTAATTAAACATTAATAAATTTATTATAATAATTAAATTTAATATGAAATTGATATTCAATAATTTAATATTTTAATTATAACAGAAAATTATAAAAATTTAAAAAGTAGTTGTATATTTCGTTAAATCTATGGCAAACGTGTATTATAATTGACATTATTGATTTATGAAAAGAAAAGCTGAAAAATTCTTCCTGGAAATAATTTAAACGTACTTATTTTTTTTATGTAAAATGGGTGTTTAGGAGGTACTTATCTACTTCTCCTGTATAACTATATTGACTAAAGTCTACTACAGTCTAATTATACTTGACCTAAAGTATAGGCATAAATAATTGAAAAAAATCAATTAAATGGAACAAGCTAAATGGATCGATGTTATAGTTTTTTCGTATGAAATTACTATGAATAGAACAATTAAGTATACTTAATTGTTCTATTAATAATAAATATGTCTTTTAAATATGATATAATATATTCTAATTTTAATTAAAATAAAATTCAATATTAAAACACTTCCTAATGCCAACAGGTTGCGCGGTCCAGATCACTAGACATAAGAGGGTCGTCAGGGGGCGCATATAACGAAGTTGAATGGTTTGACGTTCACAGAGGTACATATTGTGCTGTAGCATTAACGATATCCTCATTTCGTTTGTTGCTACCCGTCACCTACGTGTAACACGCGCCTGAGGCTAACATTTAAACGGTAAGCTTATAATAATTTTCTTTTTTGTTTTTGTCCAAATAACAGAAATTATACGTTAATATGAACGAGGAGTACGAAAAATGTTTTATTCTATGAGAAGGAAATTCCATTTTATCTAGCACAAAACAAATATAATAAAACACATTTCAATCAACAATTATGGCTCGTAAAATATAGATTTTAGGTGAATCATAATTATTTATTTTTTAAATAAAAATATGAAAGTTAATCTATTTAAAGGTATATTTACTAATATTTATTTAATTAACATAAGATTTTCGATTAGATTCAAAATTTGTTAAAAATCATATATAACATTTATAACATGATAAAAAAAAAATCTTCAACTAGAAGTTTTTACTCAAAACATTATTAATTGATATATTTTGGAAGTGTAGTTTTAAGTCAACACTGAATTTTCTAAAAAAATATTTTATTATTTTATTTTTTTCTAAATGTGTTAATAAAAATATATCTACAAAAACAATTTAAATAAGAACATTCATTGCGTAAATTCAAAAATAAATATTTATTTTATATGTACAGTTTTTTTTTACATAAGGCCTAGAATATAAAATAAAGCTATCAAAAATTAAATACATAAACCAGATAAATGTTCAAACTTGTTGGAGAATTTTCAATTAATTTGTAGAAAAAATAGAAAATAATATAAAATACATACGAAAAAAATTATTTTCTTAGCTATAAAAATGCATTTATTTATAAATATGTGAATTTAAAATATTCTAACATGTCTAGATATTTAGGGTAGTTAATTTCTAAATTCAATTACAGGAAATTTCGTATGGGAATGATGGAATAGGTTTTAAATTATTTTGAGACATCTTTTTCATTTGTCAGACCTTTAAGGATGTACCATTAAAATAAAATTTTGTTTTAGTTATAACGTAATAATTTATTTGATGCTTTATTAATGTCACTCATTCATTTTATTAGTCGATGGCATTTTTAATATTAATTTAATTTTTAATTATAAAAGATAACTTTACAAAAACATTTGATATGATTAAAGGACTTTTTAATGAACGATTTTTCGATTCTGTCTTTATAATATTTTTTAGATTTTTCCTATCTATTTCAATTTTTTTATCATAAATTGACACTTGATAAAAGTAAAAACGTGTCAAACGATGGAACTACAAAGCTTATTGTAATGTAGTGTTCACAGTAATATGACATTAAATTATGTAGTACTAATAATTTATTGAGTACCACTTATATAATCGAAAATATAAATAATATTGAGTTTTTTTTGTTAAGTTTCTTATAGATACATATTTTTCTCAATTTATTAATTATAAAATATTTTTTATGTTTATCCCTTAGGGGAGACTGGAGGAACTATGGTTAGTGAGTAATACCGGTGACCTCATTATCTAATAAACCCATGCATCTAAAATTATGTTGACCATATGTATAAATTAAGAATGATAAAATGACCTTATTCTTATTAGAACGATGTTATCAAAAAACGTTTTCACGTTTAAATATGTGAAAATAGTTTTCGTTTATTTATCTAAAAAAATTTTTTTAAGAAATTTAATTTATGGGAAGCAAATTATTATATATGAACTATATTTCAGTGATTTTTTTTTAAATGATTGTATTCCTATCTTTTTGCATGTATTTATGTATGGCCGATATTACCCCAGGGTAGGGGAATATCGTTCATTTGCATTAATATATATATATATATATATATAAGATTATATTTAAAAAATCTAAGACTTTGACATAATGTAGTCAATATGTTTATGCATCCATTTATTGTAATAGCATAACATTTAGAGTCTTAGAACCAGAGATACAACAATTTTTGCTAAGGTGACATTAGTTTCCCCAGTCTCCCCTATACCTTATAAAACTGTCCACTTTATTTTTTAAAATGACATATACTTAATTAATTAGTTTATAACAATAAATAATGATCTAATTAAGAAAATTACTTGTCGATAATAACTTTTGGACCAGTATTTCGGAAGTTATTGAGAATTTTATAACTAGGTGGAAGGAAGAGCATTTAAAAAAGTAAACTTGTTAGCCTTGTATTGTATAAGGGATAAAGATGAAAAATACTTTATGATTAATAAATTGAGAAAAACATGTACTTTAAAGAAACTTAATTAAAAAATTAAGTGCTTAATGATAAATGAATCATTTTTAGTAGCCAGAAAATGTCTTAAGAATCCCTTAAATATATATATATATATATATATATATATTATTTGACATCGTACTAAAATAATGAAAACTATATTCTGAAATAAAAAAAAATGTATTAAAAAGTAACAATAAAGTATTGAAATAATGTTAATTTTTATAGTTCTAGTTGATGGTATGCAAATATAAAATAATAAATGTAGTATAATTATACTGCAACATTTTTTTCAATAATTACATTTTGTAATATTTATCATTGGATATCTCATAATTTCTATAAATAAAGCATATTATGTTATACAAAATAGGAAAACAGTATTTAATTATTTAGGGTTAAAAATAATTAAAATGTTTTTTTCAATATATTTGTAAATAAGTATTTTATTTTTTAAAATTATTATTATCAATTAATTACTTTGATATCCTATACTTAAATGTAAATGCATATATTAAATGTATATAAATAAAATTACATAATTAATCTTTGCAGTGATTATATAACATCTTAAATTACATAAAATGCATATTTAAGGTATTATAAGACACAATGACAGAGGAAAATTTTTTATGAAGAGTCTCCAAAATTATATACTTGTAAATTTTACATTAATCAATATATATTTTCACAATAAGTAATACGGTCTAATCCATTTTAATCTTCTGACATTTTGATAATGATTAAGAAGTTGAGCTGCAGCTTTGTTGACATGAACCTTTAAACGATTTTTTTCATATGCCCTTGCATATCATTGAATTGCTATATTGAGAAATTGTAAGAAATTGTATACAAAGATGTTGTATGCAGAGTGATTATATTAATATTAGCCACTCAATTACTCTTAAAATAATAATTATACATAAATATATTTTTTCTATGATTCATTCGATAACGTTTAGATCAATTGCCGTTTCCACTATGTCTGTCCCTGCCTTTCTATCCAATACTAACCTTTTTCCATCTTTAATTCCTAGGAATTTCAGATCTTTCTTTACTTGGTCGACTTTTTAAAACTCCTACTATATCATCGGTTTCATTAAACAATTTCTTTAATCCTGCATTTATCCTTCGTTCGTTATTCATTTTAGAGCTGAATTCTCCTTAATATTTCCTCTCAAATGTCATTAACTTTTTCTTATCTGTCTTGGTCGATGACCACATTTCGCAAATATATAGTATAATAGGTCTGACCAGGGCTTTGTATAGTCTAATTTTTGTTGTCCTTGATGGTAGTTTAGACTTAAATAGCGGTACTAGTGAGAAATAGCACTTATTATTTTACGGTTGATTTCCTCATGGTTATTTGCCCTTTGATTTACGTCTACTATAAGATTTTAAAGTTAGGTACCTTTTCAAATGTCATATGTCCCGTTGAAGTTGAATTATAATGATGTTTCCTTCGTGATACAATTAGGTACTTTTTCTTGTCTTCATTGATGTTTAGTTCTACACTTTTTCCTTCTATTAGTTTGTTTTTGCGTTTCTTATTTATTCTAGATATACTCGATATATTGTTTCACCCATTATAATTATATAATCTACGTACGTTGCCATCACTATATTTTGTTTTCTAATTTTTAGACCTTGAAGTCTTTTTGCACTTTCCTTACTTCTGATTCACGGGCAATGTTGAAGTTAGAAAATAAGTCTTTATTAAAATACAATATATTATTTATTGTATGTGTCAGTGATCGCACTCGTCACTAGACAATCCTCATAACTTATTTATGTAATATTTATCAATACGTAATATGGGGGATAATGCATCCCCTTGAATACAAACCTTCACTGATTTCATAAGTTTTGCTGGTATTCTGAGTTCAATCATCACCTGCCAAAGACTAATTTTCTCGATAGAGTCGTAGGCTTATGTGAAATTTACAAATAGTAATTTTATACGTTGATTGAATTTTTTCTTATTCTATTATTGTTTAATTGAGTGTATTTGGTCTACAGTTAATTTACATTGTGCGAACCCCGCTTAGTAATCTTCTTTATTTTCTTTAAATTATAGTTCTAGTGACTCATAGCATCTGCTCTTTTATATCGGATATATAGTAACATGTTTTATACTGATAGTATCGCCTCATCATTCCATATTTTTTCAATCAATAGCTTTAATTTAGTTGTTGGGGCATTTTTTCTTTTTTTCAACAGTTCTGTTGCAATTGCATCTGGTGCTTTCCCGTTCTTAAGCATATTCATCACAAGTTAAATTTCTTCCTCTGTAGATTCCTCTATGTATTGTTCAGCTATAGCAAATTTTCCTGATGACTTATTATGAGTTAACTGATTAAGCATTATTTCAAAAACTTTTTGAATTCACTGGCAACTGGCAACAGTCACGAATTGTTTATTATCAATTATGACTATCAATAGATATACTTTTTGTATTGTCAGTTAGTGTATTTATAAACTCGCAACAATGTACCTTACTATCATTGTTAATAACAATGCTGTGTACCTGCTAATATCGATGTCATAAAAAACCAATTAGCTACCTGTATTTGTAATCCCTTGTGTATTATACCTATATATTAACTCAAAAATTTTAAACTTTAAATGTTTATATCTAATAAACAAATTAAGTTTTATTAAAAATTCAAATGCCATTTACTATTGAATTAAAAACTCAAACATTTTATTAAATTAAAAATATGAGTTACCATTTAAAAAAACAAAGTTGACACCCTTACCAGGCATAAGGGATGAACTTAAAAAGTATTTCATAGTTAATAATTCAAGAATAATGTGTAACTAAAGATAATAATAAAAAAAAATGTTTAAATTATTATTATTCTGTAAGTAATTGAGTGGGTTATGATAAAAAAATCACCCTGTATAATAAGTAACCAAATCTTGCTAATTTTCCATCTGTTTTCTTCTCTATTATATTTTTCTGAACATTTTTCAATTTATATTGTCTATATCTAAATACATTTACTCAAGGTTAGACCAAAGTCAATATGAGAATCTTGAAAGGGAGCCATTTTTTCACAGGAGACGCTCTATAATTGATATTAAAAAAACAACCAATTCAGTTGGGACGTGGTATAGTTGAGACAAATAATAGACAAATAGTTGACATTGATGATATCACTATCATAAAAGAATACTCCAATGCGAATCTGTTAAATACATCGTTCATGTAGTGTACGTCTTAAAGTCAAAATACTGAAAAAGAAAACATCACTGTATTGATTTGAAGATCGCTCTTAATTTGAATTTATTAGTGATTCTTTAGATGCTATCTGTAATTCCTTGTATGTACGGAAATATTAGTGTTAATTTTTTATAATCTTTCTTAGTTTCATCTGAGTTGTTACTTATTTTTTTTTCTTCTATCAGTTTTCCTTAATGCCTTATTTATGTTTTTTCATTTGATTGTGTCTTTTTTTCATTGTGTGTATTGAAAAAACTAAATTTTTTTAAATTTTATTTTTAAATTTCAATAAATTCTAATAATAAAAATTAGAGTTAAATTCATCTCTATTTATTAATGCTTATTTATATTTAAGAATGAAAATACATTATATAAAATTTTAATTAAAAAAAATAATTTTTTTTGTATAATTTTTTTAGGTGAAGTAATATTTAATAAAAACCATGGTCGTAAAAACAGTTATGGTTCAATTATTTGTACTGACGATTATATTTTTGATGTTAACAATTGTCACGCCATATCCAACATTTGAAAATAATGTAAATGAATTCAAAAACAAAAATAGAGATAAAGTAAGAACCATAAGAGGCTTCAAAAACATGGATTTGGCAACGGCTAGGGGGTTTGGTAAAAGAACAGAAAACTTGCTGTTAAATCTTTTGCCATCAGAAACTTCAGGAGATTTTAAAGAAGATAATTTAAAACAGAAGTAAGTTGCAATCATTTTTAATGAAACGCCGAAAATGCAAAGGTTATAAGTGACATTATTACACAAATTAAAAGATAGTATATTACTTAAGTACCTAATAAATTATTCGTATGCAATCTATTAATGCGCTATTTTGACTACCATACAATGTGTATTTTATAACAAACTGGTAATTCCATTTAAACTATGGATCATCCAATAAAAATTTGCATATCAAAATTATACTTACAATGGGAGGTCACAGTGATGGATCATCGATTTTCAAAAAAGTTATATGAATCTAATCTACATTTAATACATAATTGCACTTACTTTAATTTTTTTGCCAATACCCTACTTAAACAGAGAATAACGACTGAAAGTTTGAAATAGCTTAAATAGCCCTTTTTATCTTCTAGTAAGCGCAGCAATCTATTGGTCACTTAGTAACATCCATGATTTTTGGCTTTTAACAGAAGAAAAATATTTGATATCTGTTTAATAGATTGGACTACTTGTATTAAAAAAAAATGTATTATCAACAAAGGATGATTATATTAGTAACTTAAGATGATAATATTGATAATAAAATATCAATTTTACACCAGAATAATTATTGAAATGAAATTTGAAAGAAGAAGTGGAATACTGAAAACTATGAGGTTATATGTAATAAAGGAGGGTGATATGAGAGCTGCTAGTGTGTGTATAAATGATGTGGGAGATCATGTTAAGTGAAGGTTTAGGATATAGTTAGCCAGTCTCAAATAGATAGGATAAAGGCGAGGGAGAAGAAGATGGATCCTAAATAAATACCAGACTCCTGAATAAGTACAATAGCATGTTGCAATAAATACAAAAAATGTGTTTATTTTTGGTAACAACGAATATTAGATCTTATGTGAGGCACTGAAAATCTAAACCATTAACTCCTTTTTTTTCCAAATTACTTCCTTCAAAATTATTCTTTGTTTTAACCTAATTATGAAATCTTACGCTATTGACACTTTTTTTAATAAAAATAGCATAGTTGGAAATAAAAAGTAGAGTTAATTGGCATGGCTTCTAAACATGTATGAAAAGGTCCTACAGTGAATTTTACCTAGAGGAAATGAAATGTAGGGCAATTATTCTTTGTTTAATATGTTAGATCAAAGTTTATTAGTATAAGAAAAAATTTAGTTAAAATACTGCGTAGGGACAGAACATTGTATAAATTATTTTATTTTCTATAAATTCTCGTACAAAGAGAGCAATTTTGTTTTTATGTTGTCAAGTGCTTTTTGATGTTCAATTTATACAACATAATTAAAAACATTACACATCAAATTGATAAGAATTTTATTGATAATAAATAAATATTACAATTTATATATTTGTTTATTTCGAATATAAATAAGATGAAATATTTAATATAACTAATTGCTAATGGTGTATAAAATAAATAAATTATAGCAAAGTTTTTGTGCCAAAAATTCCGGTAGTTAGTTTCCACAGCTGATCATGTACACTAGAACTGCGCGGCTTTTGAAAGAAAAGTTGCGGGGGTCTTAGTTTTAGAATGCTTCCATTTGCAAAAAAAAAAATGACACAAAAATTAAAGTAGCATTACGCAATTGAGTTTTATACCTAACTGGATGAAAATGGAGTGGATACGATTTAAATGCTTTAGAAAGTCTTCGAAGTGGACACAATGTGATGAAATTGAATTTTCGATTAGTACAAGAGGTTATGGGAGAGTTCGAAAGACAGTGAGTTCAAGGAGGCCTGTCAAAGGGAACAATTTCCGATACTACTCCAAAAGAACGACAATTTTTGGACGGCAATTAAAAATGATGTTTCTGGATTATAACTGTAGAAAGTGGCGCGTCAAATATTGTTATTCGTCGTATTTTAATCGAGAATCTTGACGTGAGTAAGGCGTGCGTGATGTTGATGTCGAAAGTTTTTGTTTCTAGATAACTCTTCAAACCATGTAGTGTATTTTGTTGCCGAGTTGCTCGCATAAATAAGCCGGACACTGTTGTTTGAGTAGTATAAGATGATGCAGCATCGAATTAGTGTAAATTTATTTTGATTTAATGCTGTACACAAATGTAAGACTCTTACAATTGGGTTGTCGATTAAAATATAACTGTTGTGTTATAAAATCTTTTTTTTTCACAGTATTCCAATTGATTGGGTTTCAAGAAAACTGTCCAATGACCAATATTTAGCGAAGGCTCTAGTAGAAAACTTTATAGACACAAACCGCGATGGTCAAATTTCTGTGGAGGAACTACTGCAACCGATTAATGGCGAACAATAATAATAAATAAACCAAAAAATACGCAATTTATTCATGTTGTCTAAGTCAGTTTCGCTAACTTAAATTATAATATATTGTATATTTCTTTTAATAATAAAATTATGTAATTATCTTGATTAGTCATCTGTGTATTATAAATAATACTCCGAACATTACATAACTTAATGGTTATAAGAATGAAATCCAATAAAACTGTTAACAATTGGATGGATAAAGCGAACATTTTCTTATAACTTAATTAAAGTAAATGGAACATGATAATCACAATATTGTTAGTGTGAATCTTTACTAATTTAAAAAAAATAGTATCAAAATCAGCTTTTGTAACAATTTAACTAAAAACTTAAGCCACAATACATTAGCTAATTAATGAATATCATTAATTCATTCAGTATAAATCCTTTTACAAAATAAATCATTAATTAATAAATAAGATAGTTGTAATGAAATTTAAATTCTAAAGACACTACATTTTTCAACAATACTTTGTTCATATCTATCATAATTAAAATATTTTTATTTTAAGCATTCCTTCACTAATTCATTAACAGTTAATTTTTTTTACTATAATGTCTAAATATTTAACTGAACATTTGCGAATTTTTTTTTTTTTTTATTTATGTATGTATAAAAAGAAGTATGTTAAAATATATTTAAAAATCTCATAGAAGTCCTAATAAAATGTTTGATAATTTTTTTTACTTCATGTTATTAATATTTATATCTTAAAAAAATTAACAAACAAAAAAACATTGGTTCTATGAAATACTTAAAAAATAATAATTTAATGTAGTTACACTGTCATATCTCAACAACCTCTTTTGTATATACGTTTGACTGTATTGAAATAAACCAATGAGGTTGCCAAACGGATAGTAATTTCAAGTATGGTAAATTCTTCAATAATCAAATAAAATAAACTTGAAAGATAAGATTACTTATAACGCCTATAATTCCGTTAAGTCAAACTGATACGAGTGTAAAAAAGTTTCATATCAATAAAATATCATTAATATTAATGATCACTTTCGATCTTGTTTTTAGGAGTTTTGGTTATTATTAATGCAAATATTTTGGACGTTTGAAATAGTGGATATAAAGAGTTCATTCTCTAAACACATATTGGGTTAGGCTATACATACTAGGTTGACTTTAAATAACTTTAATCTATTCGTATTTTTTCCGAAAAAAGTGTTTCTGTTCTCTTGTCAGTAAATAGTATTGAGACGTTACTCTGAGATGGCTCGTTGATTTACACTGTTATAACACGCATTTTATGATTATTTTAAATCAATATTTTTCAACTTTTGTTTATTTATTTAAACACATGAAGTAAAAATCCATCTACCATTTTACCGAATAGTCATCAATGTTTACATAGAAGTCTTATCATCTTTTTTCAATTTTCAAGTCAATATTTTAATATATTAAAAAAAATAATTGTATAAGCAACTTTAAAAAAAAACTTATTATTAAATGNTTAATATATTAAAAAAAATAATTGTATAAGCAACTTTAAAAAAAAACTTATTATTAAATGAGTTTATTTATATATATAAACACCCATTTTTAATTGTTTTCTCTGCAATACATTTGATTATCACTAATCATTGAAATTATTACTTTAATTTGAATTATGTTATTTTTTATTGATTATTTATTATAAATATGATTGTATAATTACAAAATTAAGGTATAATAAAAAAAAATAATAATAATGATCTAGATAGTGATAGTTAAATGATTTTGCCATGGGGGGTGTAAAAACCTTTATGAAAATATCATCATAGGACACATCCCTAGAGCTTTTTTTATTTGTATTAGTACATCAAGGTATTATTATAGACTACTATATAAACTACTATATGAAAAGGGTTTTCAATGGAGGATCTATCCCCCTAATCCTTTTCCATTCGACCACCATTATTTATAAATTGAAAAATTATTTAAGATGTTCGAAATAACTTTAAAATCTCTAGTAAACCTAACAACACATTTTTCGGATAGTGTGCAGGAAATGTTTTGTGATCCTTAATGTTTGAGGTATTATTTATTACAATTACTCTTCAAATTACACGAAATGAATCATTCATCTTTTTAATGTCTTACTATTTATTTGATTGTTAATGTTATTTTCTACTATATACTATTATATTAAATGAAATCATGCTAATAATACAAAGTACTAGTTACATATTTTCCTTTAAATATAAACTACACTATCTTTTCTATTCATTTATAAAAATAAGAAAATATTTCTACTTAAATAAAAATATGGAATTTAAATTAGCTTAATATTATTTATTTACTTTAACAAATGAAATATATTATTATTATTTGGTATTTAAAATATTAAAATTAAATAATAATTAAGTTAAACCCTAAAAAATCTAAATTGATTACTTGAGACTAATTAATTATAAATAAATAAAATTAACTCTAAACCATAAAAACACGTGAAAAAACTAGGGGTACACAATTTCAAGAACGATGTTTTTATCATCAGCATCAAATAGATAATTCTAATATCAACAAATAGATGTTTTTTATATCAAAAGGTATCGTTCAAAGCTGGTAATGAAATATTGTCTCCGTAATTTTCTAAATGATATTTTTGATGGTGAATTAATTTTATTTATCTTAAATATTAAGTTGTTTCAATTTAGGTTCTTCTTTAAATGAAGAATTCGAAATCCTTGTAAAATGGTCAACATTTAAATATGATATTATATTATATAAATATATACACATACATTTTTTTTTGTATTATGTTAATTACATAAGTATTTCTATTTATAAAATAATTTTTGTTCCATCCTATGTATCTTATAGGGATTTAAACTTTATTAATTTACTCGTTTACTATTTTATTTTTCAAATGGCAACATATATATTAAAATAGCTTACATAATAAAAAATAATCTGATTAAGAAAATGACTGGTTGATGACAACTTTTGAATCAGTTCTTCGGAAGATATTCACATTTTTGTATCTCGATGGGAGAAGGAGTGCGACTGAAAAATGATTAATGATAAAATAGCAGTATTCGCGCTTCACCTCCAGTCTATATTTTAAAATGATAATTATTTCCTAAATACTGGTCCAAAAGTTGTTATCTATTAGTAATTTTCTTAATTTAATTATTTTTTATTATTTTATTTATAAGCTAGTGTAATATACAGAGTGATTCATTAAGGATAAAACAGTCATTTTCTCGGTAACTATTTAAAAATTTTAATTAGTTTTAATTGAGTACCCCTATTTTGAATTTTTTATTATGATTTAAAATAAAAATACAAACAACTTATAATTATTTTTTTTCGATCAACCGTTCGTCTGTTACAGCTTGTTAAAGTTTTCAAAACAGTAAAATAATAATAGAAATTTAGTCAAAAATCATTTAACTTTAACAAGTCACTCTGTATATGTTGCCATTAAAATAAAGTTTACATTCCTATAAGATACAAGGGATAGACTTGAAAATTATTTAATAACAAACGAATGTAATTAAAATAATCCAAAAATATGCTTAAACATCTTATTATTTTTAAAGAAATTGGATGGCTAACGTTAAAAGAATCAACCTATGTAAATACAATAGTAACAGGTCAATTATTATAAATAATGAGAACAATAGAAGACAGTTTCCTTATATCATGAACACTCTATATAAAAAAAAACCCAACACAAAGCGGACCCGGCATAGTGGTGACATAGCAATAGTTGGGTCAAGTACAATGATATCTGACAGTGATTAAAATCACTATCATAAAAATGCTTCCATGCAAATCTTTAGATAGTGATATAACTTGTTAGATAGATATAACTTTTCAATAAGTTATAGCATTATAAAGTTAAAAATATAAAAAAGAATTTTTTTACAAAAATCGTATTTTAGCTTCGATGCGAGAAGGTATTAGTTTTACTATGATGTGTTTTTTTTTGTGTGTCTGTTACGACTTTTTCTCAGCTCTCACCAAACCGATTTCTTTCAAAAATATGCCAAAAGATTACAAATTGTATCTAGTCGAAGACATTACCCTCAAAAATTGAAAAAATTTCACTCGTTCTCCGTAAATGGGGAAAATCCCCAAAAAAATTATAAATTTAAAAATCGCTAATTTTTGACATTCTTTGAATTTTTTTACTTAAAACTGCCATAACTTTAATAAAAAAAATCAAATCAATATAATTTTTTTTTATAAATGCATGATGTCTTTAACTTTCATTTGGTATATTTTTTTTATAAATCTGACCCTTTACCTGCCCACAGGGGGGATTTAAAATAAAACTTTTTCACAAAAACTTTATTTTTTCAACTTAACTTTTAAAAATGTTCCGGAAAGTCTGAGACTTTTATATATATATATCTTAAACTAAAGCTAATGTAATATACTTTATTATGGAAAAAAAATTTTCGGAATTGATTTTGTCTTCATGGTGAAAATAGCTACAGAATGCTATTTTTGTGTTAAAATTCTCGATTTTGTATTTGATTTTATTTTAAAATACCTTACAAAAGGTATTAATTCTTTATATTTAATTTTATATTTAACATTTTTAACTTTACGAGAAACGATTTTTGGAATTCTCGTAAAGTTGTTCTCTCCCTCCATTTCATTTATAAAAAAGAGAACATCGTCTTGAAAGTCCAGATTATTTCATTGTTTTTCTCATAAAGAACTCACTATGCTGGCTGATTAGTTATAAGCCATGAAGTGATAGATAAACATTATGAAATAATAAGAAAATTATCGCATCTAAATAACAAAATAATGAATTTTGGAGATTTAACACCTTAGCTACGCCAANGAAAGTCCAGATTATTTCATTGTTTTTCTCATAAAGAACTCACTATGCTGGCTGATTAGTTATAAGCCATGAAGTGATAGATACACATTATGAATTAATAAGAAAATTATCGCATCTAAATAACAAAATAATGAATTTTGGAGATTTAACACCTTAGCTACGCCAACAAATTATCATTTGTAGGGTACACTTAAGTGCGTTTTTTAATTTAACAGTTTTGACAATGAATTATTAAAGAAACAACGTAATAAACATATAACCAAAAATTTCAACGGACATTATTTAATATAAAAATAAAAAATATTTTAACTAACATTGAAAAAAACTAATTTTTGCAAAACAATAAAGAATAATGAGGCAGGTATAAAACCGTATCTGAGTGTTATGGGATTCTGTTAATAATATTATTATGCAAAATAGAAAACATTAAGTATTAAAGAGAGTACTGGGAACATTTTATAAGATCTTATTTTGTTTTAACTCGAATTTGAGATAATAGCTTAAAATATATATACAACTTGTAAAAAATTGTTTACAAACAATATACAAGTTCACACAGCATAAAGGCCATTGAAATAATACAACATATAAAATGAAACATTAATAACAATTCAAATTTGTGATTTTAAAAATAGTCTTACAATGAAAATGAACTTTTTTAAATAAAAAATTACATTCTAGTAAAATTTTCGAATCTTACCTCGTATAACAGACTTATCATTATTTTTAAATACCCAGTTTTACTATAGGATTTTCTATGTTTAGATTATGTAATACTTCGCAATCTTGGATAAGATCATATATTACTCTTCGCATGCATCAAGTCAAATTAAATAATAAGTTGTCAAAAATCAATAAAGTAACATCTGGTGTACCTCAAGGAGGTACAGTTATCACTACTATTTTTTTTAGAATTTGTAAATGATGATCAAATATAGAACTTTTTTTACAGTAATTTCTTTTCGTTTATTGGTGGTTTAAAAATACATAGGATAATTAACATCAGAGATGACTTATTGACTCTCCAAGAGAATTTAATATCTATCTAATTATTGAATTTAATTTAATTAATTAAAGTAAGACCATTTGGGTCTTACTTTAAAGACAAACAAGTAAATGACTATTATATTTAATCCATCACTTATTATATCATAATCCATTAAAATTTGATTATTGAGTAGGTGATTTTATAAAGCGTCTGATTTAAAATACTAAGGAGTGCACTTTTCATCGGATTAAAAAAAATGCATATTGATATAGTATATGATATATCATATTTACTTTAACACTTGTTCAAAAACAAAAATGTTTAAAAAAATGAAACCAGATAAACAGTTTGTTCATTATGACACAGTATACAAATAGCAAGTACATTATCATTAGAAATTGTTTTAATTTAAAAAAAAAATCAATTAAAAATAAATTTATTAATACTTTGTGGAATAATTATCCTATTTTATTCAACAGCACTTTCATTTGATAATTAAACACTAATTTAATTTAAAAATATTAAGCATGAAGGAACTTGAAATTCAAAACTTAACTAAACAGAATAAAAAAATAATAATAGTCACGATATTATTCTAGTTCAGAAAGTGTAAAATTTCCTGATTCCTCCAGTAAAATATTTTGTCAATATTTTATATTAAATATTTTGTTTAAATAGCTAATACTATATATATTCTTTTAATTGAGTTCACACTGTACTGTGCAGTACATATATAAAAATTCTATTATAAAACTTCAGATAATAATAAGTTGGCTTTTGTAATATGCTATAAAATAAGCAAAAAAAGACAAATATTGAATAAAATGCATAATAATTATGTCTTTTAGGCTATAGTTATTATAGCATATGTAATTTTCGTACCTATACTAGTCGAACAAAATTTTTATAATAATTTATTGTAATACATATTATGAGATTTATTAAATGAACCTACAAGAATATTACTTATATTCAATTTTTTTAAGTACCATTTTTGAAGTACAGTTTTACAGTATAGAATCCCTAATAAGGGTGTTTTTAATTTAATTTTATGTATACTCCATCAAAATAAATATCAAATTTACCATAAACTGTTCATTTTATTATATTTTGATAAAATTCTGAGTTAACTACTTTAATGGTTAGACTTTTAATATTAATTTGTTTTCTAACTTGTTGTGCCTAAGATGCATAAATAATCCGCTCTTAAAACTATTTTTTACTAATCTATGGGATTGGCTTAATGGTAAGAGCTTACTCTTTAATGCTTAATTAATGTGTTCGTTTTTCCTTGATACCTAATTGATTTTATGTTGGAATTATTTCATTACTGGAAACAAAATTATGATTTGATATTTAAATGAACTATAACTTATAATTCACCTCATAAGAGGTAGTTATAAGACTTAATCAGTTTTACATTTTAACTAATATGTAGTGTTTGGCTTGTAAAATATGTTTATTACCAAATTACATTGTTTTACTCTCCTTTTTTAAAAAATAATTCAATAAATATATAGGAACATATTTATATACAAACACATTATTATTAATCTATGATACTAAGTACAAACTAATAACACTGATTAATAAATAAACACAAGCAGTACTGTACATGTTTAATTAATAAACAGAGATAATAAAATATGTTAATTAAAAAAATCTTCTTTTTCATTTTTTTTTTGTAAAATAAGATATCATTAGTAGACTTAGTCCCTAGTGTAGCCGCGGTCCATTGAGTAGTAGTCAATGATTCCGAAGACACTGCTCTCTATAAACTTGTTAAAATAAATAATTAAAATATAATTGTCATCAAAAATTGCTTTTGATTTTATTATATATATATATATTAGGGTGGATCAAAAAATGTTGACATTTTAATGAGAAACATTTAAATTTTATTATATACGTTACAATTGGCATATTATGAAGATTCGAGATTTTTAAAAAAAATTTTACTGGACGGTCAAAGTATTTTAACCAAAAATACCCCAAAAAACAAAAAACAGCTTTTGTTATTCGGTCTAATATTGTGATTAGTATATCCAATAGTTTGATTATTACTATAGAATACAAATTTTTTGCCAAGAATTGATATCATAATTAGCGTCATTATATGGCATATTTCTTGTTTGTCTCATGTATGCTTAACATTTTTTTTTATGCAGTTTGGTTGATATTTATATTATAAGTAGAAAAAAAATTATTTACTAATCTTAAAAACTTATACTTTTTTTAAAAATAAAATATAAGCTAAAATATATGATATTCTTGAAAAAAAATGTTAAATGACAGATGATCATTATATATTTTTCAATTTTTAGATAAATAAATAATTTTTTTTTCTACTTATAATATAAATAAATTTCAGCCAAACTGCATAAAAAAAAATTTAAGCTTACTTGAGTTCTACTAGAAATACGAAGTGTATTAAAAAAATAACGGGAATTTTCGTTTTTGAAAAAAATAATTATTTATTCGTATACATTACTGTGTCATCTTCAAAAAAGTCTCCATTAAATATTATGCACGTGTGCCAACGCTTCTTCCAATCATGGAAACTCTTCTCAAACTCGATCTTTGGGATAGCCTTCGGCTCATTCAGCGATGCACTTTTAATATTATCTATGCTTGTAAAACAACAGACTTTTAAGGATCTCATTACTTTTAGAAAAAGAAAATAGTCACATAGAGTCATGTTTGGCAAATTTGAAGGCTTGGGCATCGTTACAGTTTTTGGCCAAAGCAACATTTGTTTCATGATGAACAAGCAATTAAATGTGAGCAGGTACAAATGCTATAATTTTTTTTGTCAAAATCCGGGCATTTTTTGGATAGCTTCATGCAAATAGCGTTGAACTTGTAGGTAGTACTCTTTATTGATTGTTTGACCTAGTGACAAGAATTCATGATGCACTATGCCATTAAAATAGAAGAACACAGTAAGCATAACCTTCACGTTAGATCGCACTTGTCCAGCCATTTTCGGTCTTGGCGATTAAGAATGCCTCCACTGGGACTTAGTTTCGACGTCGTATCTATAAATCCATGTTTCGTCAACTGCTATAACACGTTTCAGTAATTCTGCATCGTCGATGACTTGATAATAATAAAATTTGATGTGTTTGGATTTTTTTAGTAGATAAACAGATAAAAAATCAATTTTTGAAAACAAGAAACCAAGCATATTTAATTTTAGCAGATTTTCTTAGAATTTTATTAATATTTGCGACCAGAGGTGCATTATGGCGTTCTCAGATAAACCCTTCTAGAGCCAAGAGCAGAAAAAAAAATATATTCAGTATAGCACCAACATAGCAACTAGTAATTATTTTTTTTTTTGAGGTGGAATTTAATTTTAAATAATTTTAAAGACAGTTTTAGTTCATAAAATTTTTAAAATTTTAGAAACGCTACCGTAACATTTAAATAAATAAAAATTATAGTATATTGGGATCGTAGTGCAGTATGGATAGTTGAGACAAGTATAGATGATATCTGACAGTGATTTTAATCTCTGTCTAAGAAACGCTTCGATGCAAATCTGTGGATAGTATTTAATCCTGAGAAATTGATGCATAATTATAAAAGAAACTTCAACTTCTATTTCCTTAATTATATCCTGATTAGTAGTTCTTAAATTTAAAAGAATGATTTATAAATAATATTTTTTACTTCAGTTAAATATAGTATGAAATTAATATTTAATAATTTAATATTGTAATTTTTACAGAGTAATAATAAAAAAATTATAAAGTGATATATTTCGTTACTTCTGTGACAAACATGAATAAAAATAAAAGACTTGATACATTACTTAATAAAAATTTTTTTTTCACTTATGAATAAATATATTGGTCTATAAGGAACTTTCATCGGAATCAAAAATGTATTTTTCTAAACTATTTGCACTGTTTTCAAATCTGAAATTAGACTTTTTTCTATCACTTCTAAGTTTTGATATTATAACTAATTTTTTAAAAATGTGTACTCACATATTTTTCTTTGCCTTAATCCCAACTACTTGGGTTCGGTTATCCTAAAATACCACTTGACACAATTCTCCATATCATCTACGCACACTTCAGCAGTCCTCATATCGCATTCAATAGCATCCCTCCATCTCTTTTTTGGTCTTCCTCTACCTCTTCTTCCTTCAACATTCATTTCTATAAGTGTTCTTATAGCTTCCGATTCCTCTCTCCTTATGATATGACCAAACTATCTAAGTCATTTATCTCTCATATTATCCACGATTTACGCTACACCTATACTCCTTTTTATATGTTCGTACCTTATTCTATCATCTTTAGTCACTCCACTGATCCATCATTTATGTCTGCTACTTTCATTCTCTGTTCTATTCTTTTGTTAACCGCCAACACTTTGAATCATATAGCATAGCTGGTCTCACTATAGTCTTATAACACTTATCTTTCAGCCTCATTGGAATTATTTTATTGCATAACACACAAGACGCCTACATACTCATCAATACCACTATTTAAGTTAATACCCCTATAAATAATAAGGGATGATGCTAAAAATAAATTAATAATTAATAAATCAATAAAATCTTAAAAATAAAAAAAGATCAAAGTTTTTTTTTTAATTTTGTTTATTTTGCAAATAATTAAGTAGTTTATGATAAACAAATCATATTATATATACAGGGCAAGTCACAAAGATATTACAAATCTAATAATTTTTGATCTAATTATCATGTTAATGAATTTTTATTTTTTTAATAACTATTTTCTTACTGGATTAAAATTAAAAATTGTTTAGCTTCAATGCAAAGCTGAGAAGGTATTAGTTGTACTATGATATGTTTTTTCACAAAAAATTAATTTTCTCAACTTAACTTTTTAAAATGTTCCGGAAAGTCTGAGACTTTTATATATATATCTTAAACTAAAGCTTATGTAATATACTTTATTATGATAAAAAAAATTTTCGGACTTTATTTTGTCTTCACGGTGAAAATGGCTACAAAATGCTATTTTTGTGTTAAAATACTCGATTTTGTATTTGCTATTATTTTAAAATACCTTACAAAAGATATTAATTCTTATTAGATTTTTATCTCATTTAGATTGAATAACTTCAATGAATATCAAGGACCCTATCACTATAATTTCCCCTCGTTTGATGAAATTTCTTATTCATATTAAAACTATTGTACTAAAATTCTCGATTTTATATTTTACATTTTTAAATTTACTATGCTATAACTTTTTGAAAAATGTATGAATCAGTACAATTTTTTCATGAGAAGTAGTATTTATGTACATCTTTTATTCGACATACTTTTTTTTTAAAAATCGGACCATTTACCTATATACTGGGGGGGGGTCAAAACTAAAAAATTAATACAATTTATAATCAGAATATAAATAAAGAAATAGGAGATCATGTAGTTTTTGGAATAATCCATTAATTTTTCAAAATTAAACATTATCTACATATTGGCATCGAAGCACTTTTTATGATTGTGATTTTAATCTATATAAGACTCAATTATGACACGTCCACACTATGCCGCGACCCCACTGTGCTGGGTTTTTATTTAAGTAATTAATCACATATGAAAAATAAGAAATTAGGAATTGCAGGCATTTATTTATTTATATAATATATTTAATATTATTTCTATTATTATTATTATTATTTATTATGAGTCTGCAAAATATTTTGTTGTAGCGTATACTGAGAAATCTATAAAAAATAACAAAAACACTGATGGCTCGACACCTAAACAAATACATTTTAAATAGAAGAGGTAGATTTATTTTTTGCAAAATAAAATTCACTTGTATTCTCAAGATCAGCATTGAAAGTGTATGAAAATTAAAGCCTATTTTCTCAATTATGTTGGCTATTGGATTATTGTCGGTATGATTTTAATTTTTCATAATTAATTATTTTATGTAAAAATATATCATTTTTCATAATTTCATAATTATTCATTATTTATAAGTAATCTACGACATTAAAAGAGAAATACTATTAACTGATAAATAATTAAATTGTTGCTATGGTTAATTTTAGAACGTATAATAAAATAATTTCTATAATATATTTTGTAAACCTAAAAGATAATTAAAGTAATACATTTTAAAATAATATTTAAACACATACAATTAACAAATTTAACTCGCACGAACAACGATTACCTACTTAAAATCACATATATTAATTTAAATTTTTTATTAATGAATCTTTCTTTTAAGTTTTAATAAAAAATGAAAAACAATTTACCCTTAAAATCCTTTTCAAATACTTTCCGTGCTTGTTTATCAAATAGTACATAAATATAATTGAATGGATTTTGTTATTTATTTGGTTAACACGTATCGTGTTTATAGCGAAATTAAATTATTCTGTCATACAAATATTTTATGTAACAAAACTTTTTGTAGCATTCATGACGATAGTCGATAGTAGTATAGGTATCTATAGACATAATACAATTATATTTGTAAGCAAAACTTCGCATTCGTATATTGTTTTAGTTTTATATTAGTTGACTAATACATTATGAGTTATACAGACCCGATGTAGGTGTCAAAACGACAATAGGTAATTTTACATACTATTCAAATAAAAAACATATTTATGAAAAAACTACATAAATAAAATGTGCCGCGTACCATATGTTATCATTTTTTAATTCTAGAATGATAATTAGGGCAATATGTTTAATTAAAAACACAATATTCATTATTTATAAACAATTTATTAAAAGTTAACTTTTGTAAGAGTTATTAAATTATCAGTTAATAATTGTGAATTTAAATAAAAAAAATTTTATAACATTATCAACAAAGACATCTTCTACTATATACAAAGTAAGAGAAGTATCAAATAAAATAATTTTTGTACTCATAAAAATAATGTTAGATTTTTTAGGACAATCATAATTTTATTAAAATTTAATCATAACCAAGTATTTTTAAAGCGATAATTTGTTAGCCAAATAAAAAAATAAATATAATCAGTTCTACTTTTTTATTGTAAAAATAGTATAATAACAATATAATTTAAAACTTTTATATTTCGAAAAAAACATTTAAAGGCTAATAGATAATCAGTATATAAAATTTTTAAATGAAAATAAAACTATTTTTAATTTGTGTGTTTTTCCATAAAAATACGTATCTTTTATTCTGCCAATTTTAATAATATTGTTTATAATAACCTTATTTTAATTTAATTGAACTAATCAGCCTTAAATATTGAAAAATCCCAACATTAGATATAAAGAAAATTATTCAAAAATTACTACAGTATTATAAAAAAGATATTTTACAAAAATTATTTATCAGCATTTTAAAACTTTTTTTTTTTAGAAGATTGGTATTAATGAAATGTAAATTATCTACTATATTATGTATATTATATTGAAAGTACTAAGTGTAATCAACTTTCTTTTAATATGTCTTTTGTATAAATCCAATTGAAAACCTAAATACAGGAAGATTTTTAAAAACAACTCACATTTTTAAAATTGCAGTAAACTATATAAACTAATACTAAAATTAGTCAATCAAAGTGCGATAAATAATAATTAATAAATACTTTCGATTTTCGAATAGCAAGACAGCTAAATAGAAAAAACTCTAATTTAATTTATCTTTTTAATACCTTCTTCTAACTGGTAGACTAAGATCCCTGTTTCAATAGATCAAAAACACCTCATTGAAAACTCAATCTAATTATTTTTGGATTGGTATAACACAAAGGTAGATTTTCGCATATGGGCTAAATAATAAAAAAATCCTTCTAATTAATATAACAAATATTTATGTTTGATTATTAATTTGCGTAGGAATAATCAATAAATATATTTTAATTAAAGAAATACGTAACAAGCCGAATTTATTCTTTGTATATATCAATATCAATAATATATACTTAATATAATATATTATACTTAATAAATTAATTATATTCTTAATATTTCAATTGTAGCGTCTATTTAAACACCGAGAATTACATAGAAATGAATACTATGATATTTATATCGATATTAGTACAAAAAACACATCATAGTAAAATTAATACCTTCTCAGCTTCGCATCGAAGTTAAAAATAGTAATTTTAACGAAATTTTGAGCTTTTCTCATAAATTTACTATTAATAGTAATTATATAAGTTCCTGATCACAAGTAAATCTAAAAAATACGATTTTTAAATTCTCATTAAATTTTCTATTTAATGATATCAATTCTAAACTTGCAAGTGAGAAGTTAAGCTAAAATAGTGTTTAAAAGTTATACATTTTCAATATAAACTTTCATAAAAATCAAAAGGACCAAAGTTAAACATGACATTTTGAATCGAAATTTTTCATGAATTATTTTTAACATATTAAAAAACAACAAACACTTAATAAAATGTTTTTTTTGTTTTTAATAAATTTTCTCATGTTTAAATTTAGTTAGTAAAATTATAAAAAAGAGGTGATAGGGAAAATTTAATTTCAGAATTGTTGTAAATAATGTATCTTTCAAATTTGTTTCATTTTAGAGATATGAATTTACTGTGTAATTCAGTAAAAAAAAAACTTTATACACCTATTATTTGTGAAAATATTTAATTACAATTTTTTTTTGAAGTTGACATTTATTATAATAGCGTAATTTTGAGATATTTATATAAATTTCTAAAATTACATGTTTTTTTTTACCAATGTTTGGAGATTATAAGTTTAATTAGATTAAAAAAAAAATTTTTACGTATTGATTATTAAACTTGGTCCAGTTAAAGCTGAAAATTTATATGGACAGAAATAAAAATCGCAACTTTCTATGTTTCGCATCGAAACTAAAAATGACAGTTTATTAAAAAATTGTTAAATAAATCTACTGAATTGAGCGTATTATGAAATTTATTAAAATTGCGAATATACAGGGTGGCCCACCACTCACTGACAACTTAAATAACTTTTGATCCAGTTAATATTTTTAGTTGATTTTTTTTTTAAATATTAGTTAGACGTTAGGTCTATAGCTATATCTCAATAATTATTTTTTTTACATTTTATTAAAAATATTAATTATTTTTAAATTTTAAATAAAATGTAAAAAAAAAATCTAAGATAGCTATTTTGTAGAGTAGAATTTAAGAAAAATTTTAGTAAAAAAATATCTTATTAATATTCAGTAGTAAATATTCTGTAGCGTTTTGAAGTTTGTAAAAATTTGAATTTTCATGTACTATTTTACGGTTATAAACATTGAAATACGTATTGAGAAAAGGACAGAAGAAAACGCTATCTTTTCATGATTACTGTGTATACATATGATGATAGTGTGTATACATTACAAACTTGGCATAAATACCATGATAAGAAATTAGATAAGGCAATTATTACTTATCACTCTCATTCAAAAGTATATTGAAAAGATAGCGTTTTCTTCTGTCCTTTTCTCAATACGTATTTCAATGTTTAATACCGTAAAATAGTACATGAAAATTCAAATTTTCACAAACTTCAAAACGCTACAGAATATTTACTACTGAATATTAATAAGATATTTTTTTACTAAAATTTTTCTTAAATTCTACTCTACAAAATAGCTATCTTAGATTTTTTTTTTACATTTTATTTAAAATTTAAAAATAATTAATATTTTTAATAAAATGTAAAAAAATTAATTATTGAGATATAGCTATAGACCTAACGTCTAACTAATATTTTAAAAAAAAATCAACTAAAAATATTAACTGGATCAAAAGTTATTTAAGTTGTCAGTGAGTGGTGGGCCACCCTGTATATAGTTAAATTTATGTGAAACTAAAAATAATTTTTTTAGAAATTATTTATATAGAAGTATATTACTAAAAAATTTGGAATATTATAGAATAGTAGTAGAACACACAAATAGAATTATAAAATTAATGAATAACAAAGTAAAATTATTCAACTTTGTAGTTGAAACCTAATATCATATCAAACCTATTTGGACATATACTTTAAAAACATAACTAATAAATGATTTTAATTGTTTATATGGAGAAACTTTTCATTTAATAAAGAGGAAATTTTTTCAACTATTTAGAGTAATAAAGTTAACTAAATACTACGATTAATTAATGTTTCATTGAAAAAAATTGGTCAAGTGAAATCTAAGGACATTTTTAAAAGTAAAGTTGTAAAAGTTAACATTTCGTGCAAAAGTTTTTGTTTTAAATCGCCTTATGGGCAAGTAAAGGGTCTGATTTTCAAAATAATTATATTAAAAAAAGGGAAATAATTAAGATATCTATATAAAAAAAAATATTTTGTTACGTTTATATTTCAGAATTTTATGGCAGTTTAAGAAAAAAAAAAATGAAAAATATCTCAAAATTTAACAGTTTTAAAAATTCTAATTTTTTGGGGAATTTCTTTCATTTACAGGGAACGAGGGAAACTTTTTAAATTTTTAAGAGCAATGTCTTTAACTAGATACGATTTGACATATTTTGATGCATCATTAAAAGAAATCAGTCTGGTGAGATCTGAAAAAGTGGCATCAGACATAAAAAAAATACCTCATATATTTTAATATCTTTTGAGCTTTGTATCAAAGCTAAAAATTTTTTTTTTCAATTTATAAAAATATTCCAGGATATCTAACATATTGAAATTAAATCATTCTACGCGTAAGATTGTTTTAACAATGTTAGTGTATCTTTTCACGAAACAATTCACCCAATTTTTCTTTTTACCCTTGAAACATAAATTAGACATTATTAACTTAAGAATATTAAGAAATTTATCCCTTAAGGTTAAGCCATTTTAAGGCGTGATTTTTGTTACTTACCTACAGCTTATCATTAAAATTATAAGGTACTTCTCATATAGGTAGAGACGTGAAATGTAACACAAAAGTAGGTCTTATACAAGTGAATGGAAAAATCGATAAATTGTTATTTTCTCAAAATAAACGGTCTTATAGACTGGAGAGTCATTTGAGAGCTGCAGGACAAGCAGTCACCTATTCTGATTTTTAATGGCTCATAAAAATAATGTATTTTACTAGCTTAATCTAGCAAAAAAGAATGATATCAACAAAAAACTAGCTACAAAAAATTCCAATTCCCCCTTCAAAAAAAAATTGTTTATCAAAATTGTAATATCTATTTCATGACCATGTGTGCTCTTCTTTTAGTTAATAAACTTATAGTTACATACACTACTTTGAAAGTGTAATCCTATGTTTATTTGCTTTATTTATAAGTTTTATAACAAATCATAGGTAATTTACTAATAAATCATTTTTATTTAAAATTAAGTGTTGTGTTTTTAAATGTTTTGTTAAAGTAAACTGAGAAATGTTTATTACTCCTTTTTTTATAATGTAATGTGTAGGTGCAATGTTAAAAATGATATGTGATATGATGATTTTATATAGTAATGTACAGTACAAATTTAACCCTCAATACAGACAATATAACACTGTGAAATGTGAGTAGAAAGTCCACTGCGTTAAAAGGGTACAACGTGAATTTTCCATCGGGGACTCCATATATCGACTTAATACTAAATTTATCTACAATATATTAAATACAAGAATTACTTAATCAAACTGAAAATCATTATTGTTTTTTTTTTAATTTGTAGCATAAATAAATTGTTAATTTTTTTTCAAAACTTTTTTAAAAGATTATCATGATAAACATATCTCTGTAACCCACCTACGTATTGTACATAATATAAATGTAATTATTTATTCGAATTACTCTTTTTAGATATTCTGTAACTACCGGTACTATATTATATTTTGTGTATTATTGACTTAATACCAAACAAACTACTATTTTATAAACATAATCAAATATACAATAACCCATCATGTTCTGACATCTTTAATAACTTTTTATCCTGCGAATATTTTGTTACTTTTTTGTACTTTAAGTCTAACAAAAATGACAATTCTTGAGATCATTTAATTTTGACATTTTTACGTAAAAGTGTCATCATATTTTGAAAATAAATGATATAAAACAATTTTTTTTAATAAATTCCATAAGTATATCCTTTATATTTGTTATACATTTTTTGAAAATCTGACCATTTACTTGCCCACAAGAAGCAATTTAAAACAGCAACTTTTATACGATAAGTTAAATTTTTCAACTTAAGTTTTGTAAATTTTCCGGAAAAACTGTGCCTTTTTACATATGTAAATAAAAAAATATGTGACGTACTATAAAAAAAAATTATTCTGATGACTTATATTTTATATGCGAAAAACTATCGCAATTAAATAATATGCTATTTTTATGTTAAAGTTATCAATGTTATATTTTTAAGTTTAAATTGCTATCATTTTTTGATAGATTTAAGGATAAAAACCNAAAAAAAAAAATAAACACATCATGGTAAAATTAATACCTTCTCAGCTTCGCATCGAAGCTAATACAATTTTTTTTAAAATAATTTATAAATATAAAAGAATTTTAACAATTTTACAATTGATAATGCCTCTTCCTATTTCAGATTAAGTAGTATAGTCACATAATTTTTATTAAACACCCTTTTAAAAAAATTATTATAATAACAAATATTTAAGTGTGAGTTAATATAAGTAAATATTTTCATAAGAATTTCACAGCTTTTAATGTTATTCAATAAGTATGTTAAAAAACAAGACTACCTATTCTAAAAAAATTTTTTAACTACCCATAAATTATGATAAACTACAGTTTTAATTTCATTACTGAAATAATAATTAATTAACGAAATTTAAAATAATTAAATTAGGAATGTTTCATTTTTTTTTTTAAATACACGTTTTTCCTAAAAAGAAAGAATAGTAAAACTTCTTTATAATTTTTTATAATTTCTATGTGAAATAGAATAGGAGTGCATCAAGGTTCTGCTTTAGGACCTTACTTATTTTCGATAGTGGTGAATGAAATTACTAGATAAATATATGGAGAGGTGTTATGGTGCATGTTGTTCACAGACAATGTAGTGTTAATAGGAAAATATTGGGAAGAAATTTATAAAATAAATTTATCTACAGGTGTGGTATCTACATGTTGAACTAGCTTATAAAATAGGAGATTATCGAATTAATTAAGTTAAAGAAGGGGGACTGGAGCTCCCCTTGCATTTTGACAGAACTACCAACTATCTCACAGTGACATGATAATATAACTATTTTCAAAAATTGACAAAATATTGAGTTAAAAACGATTTTTGTTTAATACTAATTTTATGACAATATGGCAAAAAAAATTTTTCTAATCACACCAAGCATATAGCGCTCTTTAGAAGAGAGTTTTGAATTCAGCATCGTATAACTAATAAATTATTGATTAGTTTGTACAAGTAATAGATTATAAAATTTTCGTTGATTTATGTAAATAATTAATATATTAAAATATTATAAAACCAAACGAAACCTAGAGTATAAGGTAAAAATATATTGTAACTAGATACTAATTTTGGTGGTGCACAATGATGAATTTAGGGATTAAAAAATTAAATGAAGCTCATATAAACAAAAAATATTATTACATAGTTTTTATACAATAAAATAAATACAAAAAAAAGTGTAGAATTTTAAACATTTTTAAAAATTGAGGTGTAGTAATTGTTTGAATATATGTAAGATATTGCAATATAATTATGGATATTACCACAATAGTTAGTCACCATCCATCTATTTGGTTATATACTAATAATTAGTTCAAAAATATAACTCTAACTGCATTGGACTGCCTTAGGAACCTTGTACTGAAATTAATTAAATAGAGAACTATCAGTCATACAAAAATAATTACAATATTTCTCTAAAGGTAGTTAAATGGAAAAAAACAAACAAGTTTTTACCGAAACTGCTCTTCCTTAGATATTTGACACAAAAAGGATTCACGGGGATTAGTTTGAAACTTCGATTAACTGCCTAACAACCATTCGAGTATTTCAAAATCCTTCCCGGGTCTACCTAGTGCTACTACGGTAACGGTTAAAAGTTCTTCTCTTTGAATGAAATACCTTTAGATAAGTCGTTTAAGCTTAAAAAATATATTATTTTATGAAAATTATGAAAGTAAAATAATTTTGTGAGGTGAATCAAAATAACGAAATAAGTAAACTGGTCATAGACTTAATTAATTTTTTTTCTAGGAAGGGATTAAAACAATTATATCAAATAAATCCGTAAAAAGTCCCGCCTCCTTAAATTTAATACTTGTTCCGACTAGTAATAAATTTTGGGTGTCTAAAGTATTGAGAATATTTACAAAAAATTTATCATCTTTAAAGATTATATTATATGGTACCAAAAATAGTTTTGGAGATAGTTAACCCATAGGTAAATGATCGTTTGATTAATATCGGCAGTTAATTTCAAAATGAACAATTAACAAAATTGAAATCTATATTATATTAATTTACAAATACCAAAGTAGAGTTTTCAATTATGTAAATTTTGATTCACATGTATACTTTAATTTAAGCTGATAGTAAAGATCTATTTAAGGCTTTTTCTTACATATAACTTTCTTAATTAGATATTTTAATACATTTCCAAAAATGATTTTTAATTTATAGTTGTGTAATAAATCATTTGATTTTATGACACTTTTAAGCTTATAAAAAATAAAAGGTTCTTTAAAATATTTATTGAAATATTCAAAATAAATTATCAATTTAACATTATTAATTTTGATTTTTACTAAAATAGCGCTTAAACGTTATTAAAAATTTAAGTTGTGCATCTTAATTATTTACCAAAACTTCATGAAATTAATACTTTTGTACATAATAGATTTGTCACCAACTTTTCTTTATGTTAAGTATATTAAGTACTAAACTTTCGGTCGTAAGAAATAGTTATTGTTTCATAAAAGAAAAAACGTAATATGTTTTATTTGAATATAAGTCTATCAGTATAATTTTGACTCATTTCTTAAATTTCTAACACAATCTTAACTAATCTCTTTAAAGACAACTTATTTTCTATTTTTTTACATTAATAATGTACAAGCACAATAGAATTGTATTCATAATTTATTGACAAATAATATAAAAATTTGTCTTATTTTATTTTGATCTCAGGTTCTTTTAACAATGATATCATGTATAATTCATTTGGATTTTTTCGGCATATTCCCAACCAAGTCTAATTACTCATCCGTTGAACAGTTTAGATTCAGTGATTATGATATCTGGGTTCCTAAACCAGGTACAGAAACACCAATTATTAAGCCTTGGCAATCTTATAATCAAGATAATATTATATCAATTGGAAAAGCATCACGCAATAAGCCTATTTATGACTACGTCTACAAGGGATGTACAATTATAAACTTGACATGTATTGAACCAAATAGAAAATCATCTTTATACGATGATTATGAACATACTGAGATTGAGGATATTTCAGACTATAATGATGTTACTTATGATGATTTAGATATAAATGTCCAAGATATTTCAGACGATTATTACTAGTTTTTTTATAAATAAAATTGTTTTTTGGATATACCAGAGTATTTATATTTATATGTGCTGACGATAAAGGTCCATTTAACTTAAGCTAAAATAATCGAAGCCTTAAAAAATTAATTAAAAATATAATAAAACATTTACTTAAGATGAAATATATTTAATGGAATAATAAAAATGAGAATGCCATGAATACAAATATAAATGTATAGTTTCACTAATACGAGTAGTTTAACTTACATTAGGTCATATATATAGTTAAATAAAATTCATATCCAATTAAGAGTTTATCATTAAACAGTATACCTCAGTCTATATTTTTTTATTGTAATAGTATATTAATTTTAATAGAAAATTTTAATTGATAGATAATTTAATAAATAAATTAATGTTATTAATATTTTTTTTGTGTAAATTTACATTGTTTTGATTTTAAAATTGAATAAAATATATATATATTTATAAATGTCTCTTTTCAACCTGAAACAAATTCTCTCATTCAATACTCTATCTCTGTTTTTACAGTTAAATTAGGTATCGTGTATAAAATATGGCAAGTAGGAGTTATATAAATAGAGAATCAATAGGTATTAATTACAAATAATATGTAATACTATATATATATATATATACAATAGAATAAGTATTTAAAATGTTTCATATTACAACCTAGACAAAAATTATAACAAAAGGGGGTCGCGGCACATTTTGGACGTGGCATATTTGGGACATGTATAGATGATATCTGACAGTGATTAAAATCACTATCATTAAAAACGCTTCGATGCAAATCTGAAGATAGTGTTTAATATTAAAAAATTGGTGGATTATTCCAAAATCAACATGATTACAAATTTTATGATTTAAAAGACCAATATATGTATAATATAAAATCATATTATTAATTATCAACTTTAATGTCCGTTTCACCATAAAAACAAAATAAATTCCAAAATTTTATTTATCATATGAAAGTACATGGCATAAACTATAATTTAATATATATAAAGGTGTCAGTATTTCCGGAACACTTACCAAAATTGAATTGATAATGTTCTACTTCCGATATGCATTTTAAGTTTTTAACACACCTTGTATAAAGGAAAATGGTCAGATTTAAAAAAAAAGTATGTCACATAAAAGGAGTATATAAATAGTACTTAAAAAAAAATTGTAACGATCCATAAATTTTTTTAAAAATCGAAAATTTTAACACAGAAATAGCATACGGTAGTCATTTTCATCGTGAAGACAAAATAATGTCTGAACATTTTTTTTCCATAATAAAGTATATTACATTAGCTTTAATTTAAGATTTCTATAAAAGTGTCAGTATTTCCGGAACACATTCAAAAGTTAAATTGAAAAAGTTATCATTTTGAATCCCCATTCGTGGTCAGGTCATAGGTCAAATTTATAAAAAAATATACCAAATGAAAGTTAAGAACATCATGCATCTACTAGTATAAAAAAAATTTTAAAATGTCAAAAATGAGCGATTTTTAAAATGTAATTTTTTTTAGATTTCCCCCATTTAAGGGGAACGAGGGAAATTTTTTCAATATTTGAGGGTAATGTCTTCGACTAGATATGATTTGTGATCTTTTGACGTATCATTGAAAGAAATCGGTTTCTGAGAAAAGGGGTAACAGACACAAAAATAAAAAAAAAAAAACATCATTGTAAAATTAATACCTTCTCAGCTTTGCATCGAAACTAAAAATTGTATAGCTTAGTAAAAATCTTAACTATAGGCTATCTTAACTATAATAAATTTAGAAGTATAACAAATATATAATATCCTCATTTTTTTATAGAAATTGAACAAATTTGGTTTACCATATATGTTAGCATAATTAACTTAGCATTAAATATAATATGGTACTCTTAAATTTAATTCGTATTATGATGAAGTCTTATTTTGCCTATATATTAAATTATATTTTTAACTGACAGAAATTATTAATGGCTTCTAATTCAAAAGTCCAACTATATTAAAAAGGTTGTATGCAATGAATTTAATCACTGTTAAATTTTGATTTGTTCAAGGATCAACTGTTTTTGGTAATAAATTATCTGTTTTTTATATTATGTAAAATCGAACGTGATATTGTTTAAATGTTGAGTGTTTTATCCTGCTGAATTTTTTTTATAATTTAACACAAATTTCACGACAATAAATAATATTATTTTTAATGAAAAATAAAATAATATTTAATTTCTAGTATAAATACTATAAAAAAGAACACAAAACAATTATTACTATAAATTGTAGATAAATACATTATGAAATATTTAAAAAGAACTTCTAAAAGTTAAGGATTATAAAACATCATTTAATATAGATTCATAATATTTTTGTTGACTAGTCTCACTTTGTAAATAAGAGTTTAAAACTATTTTAGTTATTAACAGTTAAACTTTATTCCCTAATGATGATACAACTTAGTACAATAATAAACTCTTTATCTCAAAGAAATGTGGTATTTTTTCTTCTTATAAGTGTAATACGACTATAAAGTTTAAACGTTTTTTTCGCATTATTCATTAACAAAATGACTTATTAATTTTTAAAGATTAGAAAAAAAATGTCTAATTTTTACTTTTTTTAGAAGGATATTATCAGAAACTTGAATTCTCTGGTTTTAAAGTACAATATTAAATGAATGAACCATTTTATATGGAAATAAACTCCTAATGATGCATTAACTAGAAATTATTAGTTGAATGCATAAAATTGACTTATTTTGACATTTTTTTATTAAAATACAAAAGTAATGATTATAGGCACAAATACAGATTATTGGAGAGAATCTCAACACCTCGAAATCATAAATTAGCTCTCCCGGTTTCTTATAGGTAACGAGCAATAAATATTTATCCCCATGGTCGGCAATAATTGTAATTTTTGCACCTCTGAGAATTAAACTAAATATAGTCTTATTAAATATAAGATTATATTATCGTAACCATAAGTCATTCTATTAGTAGAATCTTATTATATAATAGAACAAGGAACGCTTTTCTGGGAAAATTACTTATCGATTTTCAAAAATTTTTTTTTCAAACGAAAGTACTCGTTTTTGAGAAAAATGATCGCTGCACACCAGCGTTTTACGACTTAAGGTTTGAAATTTTCACAAAACCCGCCCAATGAAATTTCTGAGATATAATAAAAAAATCAATTCAATCCGTTCATTTTTCACCATTTTACGAGCTATTTTTTTTAAGTCCACGCGTATGATTTTAATAGGAACATTTACTCATTTCTGCCCATATGATTAATGTAAATCTTAATTCGTAAAGTAGGTATTATTATGACGATTTAATTTTCTTTTCAATTCATAATTAATATACGATGTTATTAATACCATATGTTATTGTTATTAATTGATTGTATTAGTTACTAACTACCTTTTTTTTTTTATATTATATTTAGTTTATTAAACATACTTTTATTGAGATACTTTCTGTCGATTTCTTTTAAATTTGTTTATAATACAAATTTATTGATATATTTAATCATGTTTATTGTTATATATATCTTTTGATTTATAGTGAGCTTATTGCTCAATTATACTATTTTCGCTTTGAACTTTTTTTTTATGTCCATGCAGAGTTTATATTAGGACACTATTTTGCATTTAGACATAGCACTATATTTTATTATGGAATGTTATATGTTATATATAAATTTCAAGACCGTTAAAATTATATAACTTTGTACATTCATTATCAGAGCAGTATAGTCTTTACAGTCTATGCGAGTTTCACTCCGAAGAGATTCACCTACAACCCCGCGACCGGCGTTAACACTAAGTGCTATTTGCCAGGCACGGAGGATCAGTGAGCGAGGAACGACCTAGGTCGGTCCACAGTTAAAGTGTCTTCAAACGGAACACCAGCGCCGGATAATTAAGTCATCCGTACCATTCGCCTCTGGTTTGCATCAACCTCGGGCACCCTGGTCGGACCGCGGCCATTATCCAAGCCGCTATGTATTATGGTATACGTAACCTCCAGTGCATCTCCCCACTGGGAAAGGCCGGTTGGCGCCAAGGACGAGTCTAAAGACCCATCGCTCAGCTGCTTCACCTGAGGCTAGCATTCAGCCGTAAACCACAAAGTGACAGTCACCACGGATCCAAGCCCCACTGATACCAGAGCGGCAAGCCGGTCTGATAAAGAGTGTCGGGACGGCAAACGATGACTAAGCCATCATCAGCCCGTCCCGTCCGTGGTACAGGTTTTAAACCTCCGTGAGGTTTTCAACTATGCGTCATCAACTTACGTCTCAGCAATTGCCTACCCGTCATAAGTTGAAGCTATTGGTTGCCACCCTGGTTTACCGGAGACTCCGCCGCCCAATTTGGTCGCCTTTTACGACTAGCTCGGGGCACTGCAAAATATTCTTAACGACCCCCATCCGCTGGATTGAGGCGGCGTTTTCACTATCAGAGCAGTACAGTATTTATAATTTTATTTTTCTCATATATGATGTATAAGTCTATGAGTTAATCGTAGAAATTGGTATCCATCTATGATAACTATGCTGTCTAGTAGACAGTGTCTACGTCAAATCACGGTTACCAATATTTTTATCAAAATTACATTTTTTACATCTCCCCACTTATAATAACGAATCAAATTTTTTTTAAACCAGCGCTATCAATATTTTTTTAGGCAACTTCTAATAACTAAGGACCTAATGACCTTATATTTTTTGATTATCACTTTGATATTTAGCAAAAAAATTCTATAGCATGTTTAACAAAGTAAAAAAGTATTAAATACCCTCCTAAAATAATTTCTGAAGATGCCTAAGAGGAATACCTCATTAACAAACGTCAACCTTATACCTAATACTTTTTACTATATTCTCTTTTTGAATTTTCCTGATTTTAATCATTATATTTTTAATATACTTTTGTTATACTGATTCTGATGTAATATTTTTTCTGCAAAACACTTATCGTGCCCGTCGTAGCTGGGTCCTCCTACCGGAATCAGTGGCCTACTTATAATGACGACCCGAAGAGGCTAACGTGCCAAAGGCGCGCAAGGCTCGTAGGGCCCTGGGTCTGAGTGGAGCCCCAGCTAGACGAAGCCTAGTCAACAATAATTTTTTACTTTAATGTTAGCAATTATTATAATATACTATAAATAAATTCTATTTCTATTTATGCTTTAAATAATTAACTTGAATTCTCAATAACAACAACAAAAAAAGAAGAATACCCATTGAAAAATATACATTAGAAACACGATACACTTAAATATACGTATATAAAAAGTCACTTAAATTATTATTAAGAGTACGCAGTCAGTTAATTAA